CAATATATTTATACTATCTTATCATGCCACTGTCACCACAATCCTAAACCACTGCAGTGTTTTATCTGTGATGCCTCTGTAATGCTTCTAGAACACTACATGATGTCTTGTATTTTGGCACTGTAAAAATGTTGCTTTCTTGTGCAAGACATGCCCAAGATGTCTTGCACAAGAAAGTTTTCCTAACAGAGTTTTTCTACATGAGGCTGATAATTGCCATATCTACTTTTGGTTTCAGCATTGAAGTCAGATCCGAACTCTACACAAAGAACTTTTCCTGTCCTGCTTTTCTACCATCAACCTCTGTGCAATATTGGAATAATGGAAATATGAAATAAGTAGGAAACAGCAATTTCTTTCACTTTCAGAAATAATACCTCATCTCCTCCACTTTCAAAATTAAAAAACCAAAACAAAACAAGAAATCACTCCTAAAACTTAGAAGCGTCATGATATTGTCTAAAAATCCTATGAACAACCATCATTGGACTTCAATGGCCATCAACCCCAGCCAGGAAAGCCAACGGTGTGGAGCAATGATATTTGCAGTCCAACATTTGGAGGGCCACAAGTTGCTGAGTCCTGGTCTAAATGTTGAGGTATTCTTATATATCTTCTGACTATATATTTTCCAAAAATTTTATCCATAATAAAAAGGGGACAGAACTGTGCCTTATCAGAAGGAAAACCTAAATTCTGACAAATCTGACACAAAGGATGGGTTCAGATATAATGTTAAAAAATCCTATTATTTCACAAGAAATAATAACTCCACTCTATTCATTCCCCTATCATGTCGAGTTCTAAGGTGCCACATTTTAAAGAGGATATTGACAAACTGGAGAATGCATGGAAGATGGCAAGCAGGCTTGTGAGGGTCCTAAAAACCAAGGGTGCTTCCAGACAGCAAACTCCCATCACTACCAAGGAGTCATTAGCAGCCAGTTCTGGTTTTTCTTTATTAAACAATTTTCAGTGATAGGAAAAAAATGGAAAAGCAGTAAGAAAACATGGGAGAGTTATGTGCTGAAGGCTAGATTGTCAGGAACAGTGTCTTGCAAAAGTCTGTGAATGAGGCAGGGCAATGGTACAATAAAGGCCTTACCTGGAGCTACCACAAGTCCAATGAGAAACAGTTTAAAAAGTTGGGAATATGTAGCCTGCTTAAAAATATCTGAAGTGCTGTCAGCCAGAGGATGCAGCTGGTTTGTTCTTGGTTGCTCTAGAGGACAAAACTGAACATCCTAATTGACAGTAAAATGGACTGTCTTGGGAGATGGTGGGCTCTCTTTCACTAGAACTATTTAAGCAAAGGTACAATAACTATGTGTCAGAGAGATGCTATGGTTGGATCCTGCACTGAACAAGGGGCTAGATTAGAGGATCTCCAAGATCATTCCCAACTCTTATTTTGATAGTTATTATAATGTGTGCATCTGAGCCCACCCACAAACTATGGTTTGTTTGGGTCTGACAAAGCAGGATCTGAAACCACACTTTCAGGTTTGTTTGCAAAACACAGTGGTAATGGCAACTCACAATTAGCACATCTGAATTTACAGATAACAGCTAGGACTGTTGCTTCACCTCAAGAGGCTGTTGTATAATAGAGAAGGGACTGAAATTCTGAGTTTAAGAAGCTGAGATTGGAAATAAAAGCATACAAGAAATTCTAAACCATGGTTTTCTTGTTGTATGTCAGAAACTCAACTATGGCATAGTTTCTCAACTATTGTTAACATAAACCAAGTAAACAAAATTACTTTTAGAAGGTGATGATTTATGACTATAACATAAGCTAAGCCTGAAAGCAACAGTATCACAAGACCTGGATTTTCTTCCTGTAGAAATTTAAACTATTTTCCCTTTTGTGTTATGTTCAGTACCAGGGATGGATCTTGCTATTATTGTTGTTCTGTGCACATTAATACTGGTATTATGACTACAACTAGTCAGTAAGGAAGGAGAAGAAAAAAGGTACATGTCTACCAACCCTGGCAAATACTGAAGTTTGGAGCAACACTCTCAATTTATTTTCACCCTAAATCATTCATTCTGTTGAAAACTTCAGTGCATAAAACTGATCAAAGCACTTGTTTCTAAACTGCCAAATAATACAAGTTGTACAAGAAAGTGTCATATGTCATTCATCCTAATTTCAGACAGTTTAATTATGTAAGTGTTTCAGAACTTTGTAAAGTGTAGCTTAGAGAACAGGACATTTAATCAAGCCATTTACCAACTTAATTTCAACTGCTCACATGATGACAGACAGTTGCAAAATAAGATTTCAAAACATTTTCCCAAGATAGGATTGTTCCTTAAAACAATCCTATGAACATCTAGACAGGAAAATGCCCTGTAACTCCCAGCATGTTGGAATTTGTAGGCTGTTTTTTTCCCCCCTGTCTAAACTTGCATAGGACAGCATCCTTGTTTTGTTTGTGTTTTTACATTCAGGGAATTATAGCTAGGTAACTCCCAAAAGATATGATGAACAGGTAGAAATTTTTAGTATGTTTAAAGCATGCCTTCTTCCTCATCAAAGTACATACAAGTTAGATTTCATTGCCTTTGGTGAGACTGAATACTTGCAGTCTAAGGATATATTTCCAAATAGACCAAGCCATTGCTGAGAGAAAATAGCTTAAGGCTGAAATAATATCCATGCACTTACCCTAGAGCAACTGAACTCAAGGGGACTAACTTTTATGTTACCTATTCACACACACATATGAATGCAATTTTACTATGCTTGAATCCATTTGGAATGAACAGATTATTTTTTAAGAATTATTTTGGTGTATTCCAAGAGGATGGTTACATTCTCTTAATTCCCCCCAACCCTGTAATATTGCCTTATGGCACTGTGCTTCATTTCAGCTACCTAAGCTGTACCACTTTTTGCAATACTACTTCTCCTCTTTCAGTGTGTGTGTGTGTTGCTCCATCATACCTTATGGAAGCATTAGTTTAAGCTAGGCCAAAGGGCAAACCACAGCCATTCAGAAAGGAGTGATGTTTGATATCACAAGGCCTTTTGTAATTATTTTAAATTAGTCCCTGGTGAACTATGGACATGTCTCAGGGTGTTCTACTATTCCAACCACACACTTGATTACAGAGGTGCACCTCCTTAAAAACAGTTTAATTATTATTTTAACAGCATATTTAAGTGGGAGAATAATTGATATTTTTTACTGTTTTGAAACATTCTTATCAGTAGAATTTGCTTCTAAATTTTCTATGGGAATAATTTCAGATTATTTACCCCTAAGTAAATCTAAATCAATTAGTTCAAATAGAATGATGTGGCCTGAGGTATGCACCCCTAAAGAATTAAACAGTTGACTTGTTAAAGTGTGTGATGCTATACACATAAACACACACACACACCACTTCTTGGCATTTGTTCAATGCACGATTATATAGAGAATATGGATGTATATTCACTTGGGATGAAGCCCAAATATTAAACTGATATGGGCCTTCAAAGCTTTTCAGAACTCCCCCAAAGCAGAGCAGATCTTCTCTGAAAAGGACTGGAGTGAAGTACACTAGTTCCAAGGTTTCTCAGTGCATCACAGCAGCTATTATGCCTTTGGAGCAGTCCGTGCTCATGCTGTCAATAGAGACTATGCTGCCTGTTGATTTGAATAGGAGGATAATAAAGTCTGCAGCCCAGAATGACTCCTGGGAGGGAGGCCTAACCCTTGCCAAGAAGCCTCTGGGAAACTGGATTCTTGTTCTCAGTAGGATTCTATCTTTGGGAGTGCATGTTTTCATTAATGGGGACAGTGGAGTTTCTATAGACTCACACAGTGGAAAATAAGTAGGCACCCCAAAAGCCTGCAGAGGTGGTTGGAAGGAACAGCTCCACCATCAAAAACATTCAATATGGAGACCTCTAGATCTTTGGAAAACTGAAACAAGACTCTGCTTTGGATCCAAAATAAAGCAGGTATGGCCAGAGTAGACCCATGGCTGAAGCACTGGAGTGGGTCACAAAGTGAATGCTATTCCAATGTGCATTCTTAATATGGAGTCATGACTGGTCTAAAATATTGACTATTCAATGCAACATGTGAAAATGACATTTTTATCCCATCTCACTGCAATTGACTGTAGTTACTAAAATCCATGACATCCGCATGCAAACATTTTACTCAAAAGAAGCACTACTAAACCCCTAAAAATAAGAACTTAAGCAGTTGTTATATGCCAATGCTTGCAAGAAAAGCCTGATGACTGTTGGTTGTTTGAAAGAGGAGTAGCCATCAAGAAGGGAATTTGTGAAGAGATGGAATATATGGAAATCTTTTGCGTGTTCCCTTCCTAAAGCATTTCTGCCCAGAATTCCTCTCCTAACAGTGCATTCCTGTGCATATTTCAATAGGAAAAAGTCCTCTATTTCACAGTAGACACCAGTCTGCATGACCAGGTATAGGACACTGACAGTTGTAGGCCTTTTTCTGTCTATACAGGCATAGGATTCCCCCCTAAGGGTTATTTCCCTAGGAAAAGTAGCCACTGGGCTTTTGTTGCACTTAACATGAAGCTCTTCCCAAAGCTGTTTGATAAATGAACCTTATGCTACATTTGCAACACATAACTTTCATAGTACTATTGTGAAATATTAATGATTTTTGCTACATTGACCAAAAGGAGGAGGACTCACAGTGGCATGAGTTTATAGAAATGAAAGAAGATTTGTAAAAGCTCCTGGTCTTGTTTCAGTTAAGCTGTTCTTTACCAAAACACCTCCCCAAAGCTATTCTAGAGCTTTTTGGAACTCAGCCAAATGTGAATCCTGTTCTACCTTGCTTATTTGCAGTTTCTTCCCTCTCCCTATTATTATAGCTGCTGGCATACCTTTCAAATGAAACTCAAGGAGGGAAGACATTCCGAAGCGCCTATACAGCAGATTATGCCCACTGTGATCCCAGTGGCCTTCTCCTCCATGCCAAGGGTGGGGATGGGGAGGAGGTTTGGGTACTTACCCTGAATCTGGCTCTGAGGCTGAGGGTTAAAAGCAGTGGTGTTCAAGGCTCTTGGGTTGGGTGTGGGGGCTGGGTGGTGTGGGCTGACCCTTATAGCTGTGCGACGCAACTGCTCCAGTTCACTCAGGCGCTCTGAGAAGGTCAAACTCCCAGGCTTTGTCTGTTCGTCTACTTTCTGACGGTGTCCTATTGTGGGAAGGGGTGGAGGGGAAAGAAGGTGAGAAAATGTCTGACATAGCAGATTTTGAGTATGTGTATGTAACCAGTTACTGCTCTCAGAAAGTAAACATTCTAAATTGGCCGGCTATGTGAAGGTCTACATGCCACTGAGTATGACCAGCTTGAGCTGAACTGCAGTGGAAATGTTTATGGCAACCCACAATGATGTCTTAGTCCAGGTGAATATACTCGCTCACTTTCTCCATTATTACAGTACAGGGGACATATGGCAATGCACAGTAATAGAATCTAGGATGAGATACTTGTGCAGTCTGTCATGGTTGTGATGGCATGGGGGAACACATCGGATGAGATCAGAGATCTTCTGACTTGTTAAGGAAGGATATCAGGAAATCTTCTATGCCAATAAGGAATGGATATCCCATTGCTATTTTGTTCTCCTCTAATTATGTTGATCTTAGAGCAGTGGATTTTACAAGGGTTTTTTTCTCCAGGCATCCTTTCTCATTCCCTGAGCATCTTCCATATTTACCACAGGGTTGGACAACTTTGGCCCTATGTATGTTTTGACTTACAACCCCTATGATCCTTCACCATTGGCTATATTGTCTAGGGCTGATGGGGGCTGTAGGCCAAAACATCCAGAATGCCTCAAATTGCCCACCAAGGATGTTCTGCAATTAATGGGGCTTCCCTTCTGGGAATCTTAACTACTGGGAAGAAGATGTCTATAGTTTCTGTGACAAAAATTTTGAGGAAGGAGCCTCTCTCCAAAGACATCACACAGATTGGTGCATCTTATGTGTAACAAAGTTATTCAAGAGCCACTGCTTCTCATACTTTTATTCCTCAGGGTTTCACATAAAATCTGAACTCATAATTGCCATTTATTTTTACCTGAGGCAGGTCATTAATTGAATAGATGAGCTTGTCTGAAAGGTTAAGCATGCCCCCTGCTCTGCAAAACATTCTTTCACACAGTCCTAACATCATTTTCATGATGATAAGTGGTGGTGGTGGTGATTGTTTTTTAAAAAAACAACCTGGAGGAAAATACATGCTTAAAAGCAGTGCCTAGTAGCTGAAATTAAATTTTATAACTTCTGCTGAGATTCCAAATCTGAACAACCTGTCTCTTCCTTCTGCTGCCAGGCCCTTTGGCACAGCTTGCTGTGTCTCAGATTCCATACTGAGCTATAAATTATCACAGGAATGAAGGAGGGGGGACCCTTGGATCTAAAAGTGATTTTATCATTACACCCATTAGCCTCCCCACCCCCCACTTCCCTCCTGCTCTTATAAAAAACAGAGGCAAGCAAGCAAGCAAGAAAGACTTCCATCTGATACTTTTATAGTTCAAATGTAACTTTCATTTCAAAAGTCTTTCTTTCATTTGTCAGTAATGCAAATCTGAACTTGAAGACATTTGACTGGAGCGCAAAGGCTCAGAGTCATGCAAGCTGTGTACATACGTAAAGTGTCTTTTACGTGATGATTATTTTCAGCCTCATGGCCTGGGGCCAGTGTCTAGATTCAGTATAATGCCTGCTAACTCTACCAGTCTATAAAATATTTGTAGCTAGAAATTATATCCAAAAACAATTTGTGCATTTAATGTAGCGCACTCTGCTCAATGGCTTCCTTTCATTTTTCGCCCTTCTTTTTGCAGAATGATTCCCACATGGTTTTGAGTTTTGGCAAAGGAATTAATCTAAAATCCCTGGCTATTCAGTGAAATACTTGGTGACCACTGGACATGCATGGACCCCATGCTTTTCTAGCACTGACCACTGGATTGTTCCCAGTTTTCATTGTGTTAAGTTAAAACTACTTTGGAAACTACAGAAAGCACTTGTGGGTGAATCTCATAATCAACATATAACCTGAGTGCACATAAACATATGTGACAATCACATGTGCTGGATATGCACAAGGAGATGGTGCTTGGAGTAGTTTCCTAGCCTGTAAGTACAGTAAAATAACAACACATGACAATCCATACATCATAATCACCAGAGAATACACATTTGCGAAAGATGTTTTAAATGCATGAAACAGCCATAAGAATGCAATATCAGAAGTTTCTAATTGTCCTTTAGCTACCGTTGCTTCCATTAGATAAAGCATTGGTGAGAAATTTAGAAGTAAAATAATTAAATGTGTGTAAAGTCCCCAAACAGATCTGCAAACACAGAATTATGTAAGTGTTTGCATAGTATTTAAAATTTCTTATATATTGTCTAAGTATTGTAGAATCTCAAGACTGTTTGCAGGGATGGGTGGGTGAAAGATTCAATTTAGTGTGTTTTGGTTAAAAATGTATTAATCCTCATATTTCTTTTCTGTTAGTATGATAAAAAATAAGCATTTGTCAACATTTCAAAATTTTTCTAGATTCAGACTGGAAAGAAGTTGAATTTTAAGAAATCAAATATGGGAAAAGGTGAACCCTATGGATACGTCTATTACTAGAGTGCAGTAACAGTATTAATGGGTGGATCAGTGTTAAGAAACAGTGCCTATGTCCTGAAGCATAAAACCCCACCAAATGTCAGGATGTAAGCTACTTAGCTGCCATTGGAAACTGCAGGTCTTGTAAGCATTTCTTAAAACCAGGATGATGTAGTGTTTGAAGTGTCAGGCTATTATTTATTTATTTGATTTATATCCCACCCTTTTCTTTTTTAAAGAACTCAAAGCAGCTTATTTACTCATCCTCCTCTTCCTGCTCTCAATTCCCCACAACAATTCTGTGAGCTGGGTTGGGTGGAGAGTCTGTGAATGGCCCAAAGTCGCTCAGCTGGATGCACAGTTGAGCAGGGACTAGAACCCAGATCACCTGAGTCCCGGACCCATGCTCTTAACCATTGGAACACACTGGCTTTCTACAGATGTTACAGGTGTTACAGGTGTTTTTGAGACCTTTAGAGTTTTCCTTTATGCCATCCCAACCTCCAAAATTAGAAGCTGAACCTTCTATAAATCTTTGGTGCAACTGCACTTAAAATATTGTGTACAGTTCTGATCATCTTAACTGTGAACAGACTTTATTGAGTTAGGAAAAGTACAGAGAAACGCAACAAAAATAATCAAGGGGCTGGAGCAACTCCCCTAAGAGAATCGATAGTTTAGCTTAGAAGAAAGATGAGTAAGGGGAAACATGGCAGAGGTATTTAAAACTATGTGTGATGTGGAGAAATGGGTGAGGGAGAGATCCCCCTCCCCCATAACACTTGAACCCAGAGTCATCCCATGAAGCTGGGAGGTTTAGGACAGATAAAATGTAGTACTTCTTCACACAACTTATCATTCAGCTATGGAATGCACTGCCATAGGAAGTGGTGATGGCTACCAATTTGGATGGTTTTAAAAAGGGACTGGATAGATGCATGGAGGAGAAGGCTATCAGTGGCTACTAGCCTTGCTTTCCCAGAGGCAGCATGCCTGTATGCACCAGCTGCTGAGGAGCTTGGGCTGGCACAGACCTTGACCCACCCTGCTTGAGGGCTTCTGTCTATAGCTGGCTTGCTACCACGTAAATGGAGTGCTGGACTGGATGAACCATTGTGCTGATCCAACATGCCTATTCTTATGTTCAGACTCAGCAGTTATTTCCATGCTGATATTTTACTCAAACAAACCCATTTTGTCCATGTAGCCATCATGCTGTTCCTTGCTTCTAAGTTTTAACACTTCAAGTTTGAAAATCCTGAAACTGGAATTTCAGGAGTTTGAATTTCTAAACTTTACCCTTATTCAACAGGAAAATGTTGCAGTGGCCACTTACTGAAAGGAATAAAAACATACTGTAAGAGTTTCTGCACTATCCATGAATCTCATGGGGTGACCCTGGGCCAATCACATTTTCTCTCTGAGGTTAACATGGATTGGTGTGAGGATAAATGAGTAAAGGAAGCACCACAGAAGTAGTCTAGGGTGATTATAAATGTAAAAACAGTAAACAATTGATACCTATTTCTAAAAAGCTATATAGCATTTTCCACTGACAAATCTATACTTTTATTTCTTTAGCTTATTTATCCTCAGAAGATACACTAAAAATATACATGTGCACTTGCATCAAGATACACATCTGCAAACACACAGGCAGAAAATAATCTGATCTTAGGCAGCTAAATGTAAAATAATCACAACCACCATAAAAGCAGAGTGTTGAGATGTCTTCAGAATTTTAACATAAAAACTCATGTTTCTTTTTATACAAACGGTTTTCCTTATTTTAAACTACACATTTGTAATTACTCTTCCCCATAGCTTCCAGTGCTGAAACAGCTATGTCACCAGATTTGGGACCAGCATTTGGGAAAATTGGTGGCTTTTTTTTTCTGGCAGACATGATGATGAACAACATATGTAGATGGAGCAAGGGACTGTGCTAGCATCCTTTTCTTGCCACCCATGATCATTCAAAACTACCACTGGGACCAACAACCTATGTATATAGAAACTGTACATGTATAGCTTCTTGCCATGTTGGCATGTCTTGCATATTTGCATAGGTTCTTTATATGCAACTGGGGATTCTGGAAAATGAGGATATCAGAAGTTATGTTGGGAATAGGCGACAGCCCTCCCTCATAGGAATTCATTCTAATAGGTGAAAAGAGCTTCAGCCGATGGTGATACAGAAATGAAAGGAAATACATAATAAGAGCCTTTGAGTTTGTACACTATTTGTGTAGAAGGCACTGAAATGCCAAACTAGCTTTTTGGCTAAAGTGTAGTCATTACTTCAGTTCTTGTTTGGAAAGAAACTTGTTTGATGAGTAAAAGTGAATAGGCTTTTGAAAAGTCCAAAAGGCAGTTATCTATTTGATGGTTAAGCCAATGTAAATCTCTCAATAACAAAGTTGAATATAGTCAGAATTTGATGGTTTGGTTTCATTTCATGTCCTCAAATATAGCTGATTATAGGCACTACCAGGGCTCAACTGCATCTACTAGGAGTTTACTCCATCTACTCCATCACCACTCCAGCCATCTCC